CAATTGTTGGTAATGTCTGATCTCATTGCATTTGAAGCATTGGATACTCTTTTACAAGTCTGGCCTTGTTGGCGATCTAAACAACAAGGTTGCTCCTTAAGTTGGTGGGACTGGATGGGCTTAAGAGGTCATTGAGCCCACAACTTCTCCACTCTTTGCATGACTTGTTGAGTATTAGAGATGGAGTAGATGTGTGAGGCCACTAAAAAAGTTGTTGCCTCAAAGAAAGTCTGAGTCCTTTAATATATCTAGTGATTGTGATCTCCTTGGGTTTCTGTAGACTCATGTGGGCCAACAACGAGAGAAAAAGATAACGACAACGAAAGAAAATATTAAAAACTGTTATGATAAGCTTTTATCTTATATTGGGTTGACACTTATAACCTCTTGGCTAAACAACTTAACTAGCAAACTTACTCCAAAATGATCAAGGAATCTTACATGCATGTGGAAAAATAGTTTGGAGTTCACAAAGTTTATCCAACCTCAAAATTAGCTTGGAAATCTTTCCATCACAAAAAAGGGCCTAAAACAACCTGTCACACATGCAAAATAAAGCCACATTTATAGGTAACTTTTAGGGTAAATTACAGACAACTAATCTATACCCCAAACTTTTATTTGCAAGAAATACCCACCTTGAACATTCAAATTCCAGTACTTCACTGCTACCCTATTAACAAGCTTGATAATAAAGAAATAAAATTACTAAAATGCCCATTTATTTTTTTTACTTTTTGTATTTTTCTATACTTTTATGTATTTTCATCTTTTTCTTTGTTTACAATTTTTTATATTTTTGTTGTATTTTCTACTTTCCTATTGGTTGCTTTTTTCCATTATTGTCTTTTCTATATTTTCATTTTTTATTTCCTCTTTTCTTTGTTATATGTATGTTATGAAATTTTCTATTTTTTTATAGGATACAAGGAATATTCAATAATCGTACCCTCAAATAAGAGGAGTAGGGCTGTAATTGGGTTGGATTTGGATTGGATCCAACCACAATCAAATATGATTCAATTATTGGACCTTTAAGTCTAAATATGATCCAAAATCTAATATACTGGACTCATATCGGGTTTAGATTTTTATAATAAATTAATCTAAATCTCCTTTATTGTTTTAAAATAATAAAAAGGGCAAATTTTTTAAACTACAATTATGATTTAGCTAATTGACTAATTCTACCTTTATTGTTTACATATTGTCTTAAAGTACTCTTATTGTTTCTAACAATTGTCTAAAACCTCCGATTGTTGTTAATTTTCTGTCACACGCCATTCACATGTGACATCACGTAATTGATTTATTTTTTTCAAAAATTCCAAGAATACCCTTTTATGGTCAAAAGTGCCATCTTCCTCTCACCCACCTATTGAGCTCGCTTCCTTTGTGTTCCTCTCTAGTATATAAAATTCAAAGAAGAAAAATAAAAATTTCCTATCAAAACAACAAATAATCCACGACACTATCTCTAACAGTAGAAATCTACAAATTCATTCCATAAATTGATACTACTAGGGTTCTAGAAAAAACATTCTCAAACTTCATTAACACTTACCACAGGTATACAACTTTCCGACCAAGCCCAAATCATCTTTTCTCAAAACCAAAAGTCTAGATGTTTCAAACAAAGACACAACATCTCAAACATAGAGAATCTAAATTCTAAAGATCAACCACACGAAGCAAATGCAGATCAAGAAACAAAAAAAAAAAAAAAACAACAGAGTGCGGAGAAGGGAAATGAAGAAGAAGAAAGTAAAAGAAGTGTTACCCAGATCGAAAATGTTGGAACTCATCGGATAATAAAGGTTATCGAAGAACCAAAACTTGAGTTTTAGAGGTTTTTTCCAAGACGGTTAGTTGAGATTCAAAGGACGAGTTTCCATCTCTTCCAAGGTTGTTTGTTGCTAGCCAAGATTCAGAGGAAGGGATAAAAACTCACCTGAAATCAGTCAGACCTTATACTTGCTCCCTCAATGACTGGAAACGAAGTTCAATCTTCTAAAAATCGCCTCTTTACTTAAAAGTTCGTCTGCTCTCTCTACTTCGAGTTCAATCTTCAAAAGATCTCCTATACCTTGATCCAACTTTTTCCCTCTCCCACCAGCTGTTCCCTCTTTGATGGTGGAATCCAAGACCCAGTTTTTTCCCTCTCCCACCAGCTTTTTCCCTCTTTGATGGTGGAATCCAATCATAGATCAAGAGTCTATTTGGGATGGTTTCTTGGGTGCTCTGAAACTCATCTTTTTCTGAATGGAGATATCTATCTTTCGCGAATAGGGTTACGTAGGTATATAAAGAAATTCCCATTTTTGCTATTTCTGCTCTATGGCATCTGTCAATGTTGATAGACCAGAAACGATCAATTTGATCTTCGATGGACTAAAGTCTTTCTCTCTCTTTGAGGAAAATTCACGAGCCCATGTTAGGCATTTGCTATTTCTGCTCTATGGCAAGAGAATTTTTGTTCCGGTTCAGCGGTCAGAAGTTGTTGTGGTAACCATTGTAATAACGGAGTTTCTCTTCTCGGACGACAGCGGATATTCTTTTGAGATAGGATTTAACAGAAGAAAAAAATAGACATTTTGTCATTTTTGTCAAGATTTAACGATGATGACAATTGTCAGAAACAATAAGGGTACTTTAAGGCAATACGGAAGTTGTTGTGGTAACCATTGTAATAACGGAGTTTCTCTTCTCGGACGACAGCGGATATTCTTTTGAGATAGGATTTAACGGAAGGAAAAAATAGACATTTTGTCATTTTTGTCAAGATTTAACGATGATGACAATTGTCAGAAACAATAAGGGTACTTTAAGATAATACGTAAATAGTGAGGGTAAAGTTAGTCAATTAGCTAAACCATAAGGGTAGTTTAAGAAATTTTTCCTAATAAAAATTAAAAGTAAAGAAATGATTACCTTTTAACTTATACATATATAATAAATTTATATAAATATAAAATATAAAATTTGTTAATTATAAAATTTACATAATAATAATAATATAACTTAATCAAAATTGAATCTTAAACAAATCAGATGGGGACAAATATGCTTTCAATTTGTTTTTTTCTGAACAGACAAGTTTTTAAGATTTAAATATAAAATAACAAGATTAGACTTCAGGTGAAGTTTCAAACTTTTGGAATCCATTAATAACCCTAAAGTGGATAGTATTATAAACAGGGAATCCTAATTAAGCTTTAACTCTAGTAATGGAATTCTAATTAGAGTAGGACTCTTATTTGTCCTAAAATGAAGATAAAGGTAGATAAGTTTCTTAATTGAATTATGACTCTTAGAAAGGAATATTACTGTTATTTGTTCTAAGGTGACACCATAATGAGCGAATGAATTCTTTTAGTTGGATTAGGACTCTTGGAAATGTTTCTTTTTTACGCTTCATGGAAAAATTCATTCCATAAAATTATAATAAAAATTAGGTAAAGTAGACTATATAGGTACAAGTTTAAGAAATTGTAAGAGCTCATCTTGCTACCTAATGAATAGCAAAGTTACTTAACCGAGGGATGTGACATACTTATGAACAAGAAGAGAGAGAGAGAGAGAGCTCATTAAGGCTTTGCAATTGGCTAGTGGAAACTTGCCATTTGCCAAGGAGAATAAACTGAATTCTCCAATGGAAATTGAATGATTACTTGAACATCTCTCTCAATGTAAAGTTTAGATAGGCTTAGATCCTAAACAAAGTGAAGGCCTACCAAAAGAACCAAGACTCAACCTCAACAAGAGATGTGATAGGAAATTTCACTATCCAATTATAGCAATCACATTTAAGGTGATCCCTAACAACAAGACCCACACCAGTTGCATTACTTCCTACTGTAGCATCAAAGTTAATCATAATCTACTTGTTAGCCTCAGTTTGGAACAAAAATGTACAATACAAATACATACAAAATATAAGGTTTTGCACTCAACATATTTGTATTTGTACTCTTTCCAAACTGAGCCTTAGGGGAACATCGCCAAAGAGTCCAGCCCCTAACATTGGTGGAGTGAGAAGGGTATCACTAAATAGACTTTTAAAAGCAACTTTACATCCAGCTTTCCATAAGTGCCACATGATAATAGCATTCTTTGCCTAAGTAACTCTTATATCTAAGTTGACATTCTAAAAATATTATACTTTAAAAGAGTTATAAGGCTTGTTGTCATATTGTAAATAATTCACTTTACAAAATGTTTATAACTAATAAATTTCTTAGAGTTTACTCTTATACTAAACTAATATAGGTCGACATTGAGTATGTGATGACTATAGAAGAATGACATATCAAAAAATTACAGTCAAAATTTATAATAGGAAAATAGATATACAATGACAAATTGGGAAAAGAAATAAAGCAAATAGTATATAGCAAAAAAAATAGAAAATAGAAAAAATAGATGACAATCCTCATAGCAAATAAAATTCAAATTCTTATTCCATTAATATTCATTTACTTTATCTCATTTTATTATATTTGACTCATTATAAATAGAGACAACAAAGTTTGTTTTCCCTTATAATACATTCTACAATTAATTACAAAAAAAATATGTTTTCTTTCAATAAGAACTAATACTATCACTCACTAATACCCCATCAATAAAAGCAGCCATAACTTTATTAATTCACATTGAATTTAAAAGAAATTGAGTAAATTGTCGAAAAGAAAACATCTTTTCAAGATTTAAATCTCTTAAAATAAATTTTAAACTAATAATTTTATTTTTATTTCGAAAACATTAATGTTCTTTAGATGCCTAGTGAAGATCACTTTGGCTATTAGGGCTTCACACATAAAACCCCAATTTTATAAAAAAACTATAAACTATAGATTTTTTTTTCTTCTATTCTTATTCTTAGTATACACAAATATAACAATGGATTTGTATCATTGGGCCAGAGATAACCCTAAAATAAAAAGCACATGAAAGGATTGTAGATGTCTTCATACATTTTAATAATATTCTTCTTGTAGAAAGAGTTACAAGAGCTTGACACGATGGATCCATCCTCTACTTCTTGTAAAGAGTAAGTACGATGATTATATTTCATTTATTTAGTGTTATATCTCTCCCTATCACTTAAACATTAGATTGATTACCTTCCACTTCCTTTATGTAGGGTCATTTCAAGTGTTGAAAATGTACCTGATGCCCTCCTTCCTATGTAAGAATTTTTTGTACTTTTAGGATTAATCTTTATATTATAATTTTTATCCTTTTTATTTTGTTTTTAATTATGTATTAGAAATATTGTAACTTAATCATGTTTTGGTTGACATAGCACAAGAGGTCCGATTGATACTAGTTGGGATCGGTGGTTTCGAGGAACACACAACTCTCGAAGTCATAAACGATGGATTTAAACGATTAATTTCTTTTATTCGTTATCTATTATGGAGAATGGTGTTATAATTTTTGAACATCTTTTCTTATGCACATTATTTATTTTATTGTGTTTCAATATCCTTTTAATTTAATAAAAAAATTATGCATTATAGCATTATATTGGTCTCCATCTCTTGCTTATATATGACTTCTATGCATACATTTCATTATTTATTTAGTTTTGAGAGAATCTTTTTTTTTTGTTGGGAAAGAAGTTATTAATAATAATACAACATCTTAACATTATGACAATAATAATAATAATAATAATAATAATAATAATAATAATAATAATAATAATAATAATAATAATAATAATAAAATAATAATAATAATAAAGTATTAAGAATGAAAGAAGCTCTAAGAAACTTCTTATATAACACCATTTTTGGTATGATTTTCATGCTTAACACTTAAAAATTGATTCATCTAGTATTTTATCCATGAAATATACAATCACGTCCTCACTATTTATTAACTTATAAACTTTTTCATGTTAGTTGAAAATTTAACTTATAAACTTTCTCTGAAATAATTATATATAATATATGATATGAAAACTTTAATGAATCTTTTGTAATAAAAGAATTTAACATGGAATTTATATTTTTTCTAAAATGAATGATCCATATTAAATATTATTTTTCATATTTAAGGGATTCCTTATTAACCACATATACTTTCTTACAATAATGTATTAATCATAAAAAGATATTTGTATTATGACAATCAAGGATTAAAATATCAATATTAGGATTAATATCGAATAACTCGAATATGGATACAGATATAGATACACTTTGGAAACGCATTGATACAGACGAAAAAGATGGAAACACATGGATACGCTAGAGAAATACATATGAATTTCATAAATATATTAACCACAATAAATTTAAAATCAAAATGATAAAAATAGTATATAAATACAAAAAATTATAAATATTAAGAATATATATGAAGAAATACATTACGGTTAATGAATCGGGATGCATAATTTTATTTATAGTGCATTAATCAAGAGTCCAAGACACTAAACAAATGCACCTATTATATTTTAATCATTATATCAATTATTTTTTATTTTACTATTTTAATTTTTTAACATTAATAAAAATATCAACTAAATATTAAATTTTCAAGTGCAAATTAAAATATCAATTAATAATTTATAAAAATATAATCTTAACGTAAAGTATATCAAATTTGTTAAAATTTCTAAGATAAATATTATATACAAATTCATAGTTTTTAATTACTAAAATAATTATTTCATTATTAATATTTTTATTTATATAAATTTTATAAAATAAAAAAAATCATTTTTTGAAATAAATGTATATTAGTGGATTTGATAGGTTTAATTTAAAATTATACTCTTCAATATTTTGTATATAGTATTTTTTTTTTTTCTGTAAATGATAAATATGTTATTACTTATTAATGTAAATTAAAATATTACTTAATAACTAATAAAAGTATATAAAAATTTTAAGATTTATATCATGTGCAAATTTATAAATTTTAAGTATTAAATAATTATTCTATTTTTAATATTCTATTTGAATAAATTTCTTGATATCAAAAATCATCTTTTTTATATAAATGTGGATTTGATACATTATTTACTTATTCGTTTATAAAATACTATTTTTTAATTTTTAGTTAGCGTTAAATATAAATGTGTGTTTTTTTTAAATTGCATGTGAATAGAAAAAGTTAATAAAATTTATTTTATTTTACTTTATCACAAAACGTAATGCGACTTGCTAGTTTCGAAATGCCACGAAATCTATTGCACGTGAGGCGACCCGGGTTTGAATCACCTCATTCACAATTTTTTATAGAGAGTTCTGAATGAGGCAGCGTGAATGGATACGTATCGACCGATACAATGCGATATAGGTCGATACGCATCCACGAATGACTGACGGGATATGCTTGTATTCATAGCATATTCCGTATCGTTAATAACCGATACTGATACAATACGCCCCATATCAGACATATCATATCAATATTTAAATCCCTGATGACAATTAAACCTAAGATTACACTACTTATAAGTAATTCAAACTAGCTTAAGAGATAGCTTTTAAAAAATATAAACACCATAGATTTAAGAGTTCAACTACAATGCATTTACAAATATTTGAAGCACGTTAAATCAAGATTTCAACCAATCATGTTAAAAGCATCAATCATGTTACATTACTTACCATCAAGATGTAAATAATGTTATAGGTGTCATTCTTTTTTTATGAATGAATAAGTAGTTTTGTTAAAGAGAACAAAAAAGAGTACAATAAGCCTTGGAGGAGGCATGAGATGCTACCTCCCCTTTAGGGTGACTATAAACCCAAGTCTTAACAAAAAATAAAACAGAACTATAGATTAGCCCAATACAAAGAAGCCTGAAAACCCCTTATTTAGCTAGAAAGTTTGCCAAAGCATTTGTACAACTGCTAGTATTTCAAACCTTGTTGAGTCTCCAACTCCCATTGGAACCAAGAATAAAGAGGTAATGTTGTTGTCCTTGTCCCTCAAAACCCCTTCAGTGCCTAAGGGCCCTGGGTTGCCTTAGCTACTACCATTAAAGTTCAGCTTTACAACCCCTTCTAGAGGAGGTATCCACCTTACTTGTGTCCTAATCTTCTTAGAGACTACAAATGCCATCATTACCCAACCCTTCCAAATAACATCTTAGGAATAACCCATAAACAAATTAGAAGTCTTTATCCAAAAGATGGTCCTTGTTAATATATTCTCCTTATCTTCTTCGAGACTCATTTCTTTTCCTTGGAATATCTTGGTATTCCGTTCTTCCCAAATAATCCATACCTTAGCTGTTCTTATATATTTCCACATCAGTTTTTCTCTCTTCGTTGGCCACCGAAAAGTTGATGGATTAAAGAGCAATCTTTCTTTGAAAAGCAAGTTCCACCTATATCCAAATAAAGAGAAAACCCAAGTCTAAATATTTTCAACAAAGGAGCAAGATAGTAACAAATGGTAACAGTCCTCATTCTACACTTCACACATTGTGCATCAATTTGGGGATGAACAAAAATAAGGTCTTTTCTTTTGTATGTGATCCAAAGTATTAATCTTACTATGATAAATCTCCCAACAAAAGGCAAATATTTTGGGGGGGGGGGGGAGAATAGGCCTGGACCAAATTTTTTTTCACTGGGAAAACCCAAGGGGAAGAAGAAGAGCAAAGGGACTTAAAAAATGAATAAAAAGTAAAAGAGGCATTTAACACAATGTCCAAACTCTTTTATTTGGATTGAGAGGGTCAAAGCAAGTAGAATCCAATAATAATAAAAGCCTAAAGACATAAGAAAATACCTCATCATTTTGGCTTATATGAAACCCAAGATGCTAGGCAAGAGACAAAGGGAGAATTGTAGGATGAAAAAACCTTGAAACAAGCTCCTTCGATAGAATAAAGGGAGGGAAAATATCTTTTAAAGGTTGATTATCCATCCAAACATCTTACCAAAAAAGAACTGAGTTACCTAAGCAAACATCATACCTTACAAACTTGAGAAATTTAGGTAGAATGTTGAAAATTGCCTTCCAAGGAGTAGTGAGTTAAGCCCGTCGAGATACCTTGGCATCCCATCCAGTTTTAGAATAGCCATGGATACTAGCCACCACTTCACTCCAAAGCCTCTCTCTTTCCATAATCCACTTCTAGAGCCATTTGCCTAAAAGAACTTCATTTTTGGTAACTATGTTCCTTAGTCTTAATCCCCCTTCTTCCTTATAATGGCTAACTACCTCTCATTTGATCAAGTGGTCATTTTTCTCTTCTCTTGGCTTTCATAAGAAGTCCCTCATCAATTTTTCTAACCTATTAGCTACCTTGGAGGGTCTCCAAAAAATGAATAGAAAGTAAATAGGGAGATTAGCAAGAGTAGTTTTGATTAAGGTGACTCTTTCCCTAATGAGGTAATTCTTTTTTGATACCCTAGAGGGTATCCAAAAAACGGATAGAAAATAAAAAGGGAGGTTATTGAAAGTAACTCTGATTAAGGTGACTATTCCCCTCAACGAGATGTAATTCTTTATCCAAGCTAATAACAGTTTTTTAAACTTTTCCACCGCAAGGTCCCATAAACAACTCTCCTTTGGGTTAGTACCTAGAAGTCCTAAATAGGTCAAGGGCCACTCAAAAATGGTACACTCTAAGCATTGCAACAATAGACTCCAACTCCATCTGGTCTAAGTTTAGCCCCACTACACATCTCTTCTCAGGATTGATATTCGAGTTGGAAGAACTCTCAAAGAATGATAGTAGGTTCTTTAAATTCTGCAATCTCACCACTTTAGTTCCTTCATAAAAACATAAAATGTCAACTACAAAATGAAAGTGAGTTATAGGGACTTGGTTTCTTCCTATTCTCCAACTTCTTATTAATCCAACCCTATTTGTTTCCCATAACAGCCTACTAAATACATCAACAATTAGTGTAAATAAGCAAGGGGAAGCGGATCTCCTTGTCTTAAGCCCCTATAGGTTAGGAAAAAATCATTTACTCCCTCATTGACTAAAATTGAGCGATGGCAAGAAGAAAAGACATCCAACTATCCATTTGCACCATCTGTCTCCAAAACCACACTTTTGAAGCACCTCAAATAAAAAGCTCCAATCCACCAACTTGCATGCCTTTTCAATATCTAATTTGCATACAAAACCTAAAATTTTTGATCCCCTTCCAATCTTAGAGGTTTAGTTGTGGTTTGTTGTTTTGTCACTAGTTCATATTTTTTTGCTTCAATGTGCAATTCATGCACCATAGGTTTTGCCTAGATTTAAGCATAATTTATAATTATAAACAATTTTCAAAAAAAATAAAACCATCTTTAATTTCATTTTAATTACTAAATGTATTCCTATGCATACTAGCCACATATGTGTTTTGTCTAATTTCACTTACATAAAAATATTGTTTATTTTTAAAAAGTAATAAAATCACATGTGTGTAAAAAATAAATGAAATTCGATAATAATATAGAATTAAAAGCGATATTTCTAAAAAAGTAAATATTAAGATACTAGAGAAGGCC